TGATCTCGTGGGTTTCAAACGCTTTCAGCAACTCCTCCGCCGCTTGTCTGTACTGCTTCATCCGGCCTTCCTTTGCTTCGTACGATCCCTCCACCTGGCCCACTACCAGTTTGGAGTCGCACTTGATTTTAAGGTGCTTGGCCTTGAGGCCGGCGGCGAGTCTGAGACCACTGAGGAGGGCCTCATACTCGGCTTCGTTGTTGGATACCCTGAAGTTGAAGCGGATGGCATAGTAAGCTCTGAACCCTTCAGGGGATATGAGGATGACGCCGCCGCCGCACGATTTCGCGGCCGACGAGCCGTCAGTGAACAGGGTCCACGTGTCGTCCGGCTCCGGCCCGGGGGTTGGCGACATCCGTCTCCCTTGCTGTGCATTCAATGACGAAGTCGGCCAAGGCTTGCCCTTTGATGGATGGCCTTGGCTTGATCTCAATTTGAAACTGGCTGAGGAAGATCGCCCATTTCACCATCCTCGAGGAGCTTGTGGGGCTCCTCATGAGTGCGCCAAGAGGCTGTTGGGTCAGCACATGGACGGTATGGGCTTGGAAATAGTGCCCCAGCTTCTTCACTATGTGGACGATGGCCAGCACCGTCTTCTAAATGGGGGAGTACCTGAGCTCGGCCTCCCTGAGTGTCTTGCTGATGTAGAAGATGGCCTTCTGCACCCCTTCGTCCTCACGGATGAGCACGGAGCTGATGGCCGACGTGCTCACCCCTAAGTACAAGAAGAGGGTTTCGCCGGCTTTGGGCTTGGAGAGCACGGGTGGGGACGACAGGTACCTCTTCAATTCGTCGAATGCTTCCTGGCACTCCGTTGTCCACTTGAAGCTGTTTGCCTTGCGCATGATCTGGAAGAAGGGGAGTGCCCTCTCGGCTGACCTGGAGAGGAACCGGTTTAAGGCCGCCAGGCGCCCCGTCAGTCGCTGTACCTTCTTGACGTTGATGATAGCCTGCGTCTTCTCCGGGTTTATCTCGATGCCTCTCCGGCTGACCATGTAGCCGAGGAACTTGCCACCCTGGACGCCGAAGGCGCATTTCTTGGGGTTGAGGCGGAGCTTGAACTCCTTCATTATTTCAAAGATTTCCCGGAGGTCGTCGGCGTGGGAGGTGGCCTGCCTGCTCTTGACGATCATGTCGTCGACGTACGCCTCCATCGTCCGGCCAAGGACCGCTCTGAAGATCTTGGCCACCATCCTAGTGTAGGTAGCGCCGGAGTTTTTGAGTCCGAAGGCCATGACGAGGTAGCAAAAGATTCCCTCTGGGGTCATGAATGTCGTCTTCTCAGCGTCATCTTCATGCATGGAGATTTGGTGGTACCCTCTGAAAGCATTGAGGAACGACATCAACTCGCACCCCGCCGTCTCGTCCACCAGCTGATCAATGTTGGGGAGAGGGAACGGGTCCATGGGGCACGCCTTGTTCAGGTCAGTGTAGTCAACACACATTCTGAACGTCGGTGGTTTTTGTGCGAGGACGACGTTGGCCAACCATGTCGGGTACTTCACCTCTTTGATGTGTTTGATTGAGAGGAGCATGGCGACCTCCCCTTTGACGAAGTCCCGCCTGTCGGCGGACAAGTAGCGCCGCTTCTGTTTGACAGGCGCGGAGGCCGGATCGACGGTCAGCCGGTGAGTGATCACCTGGCGGCTGATGCCTGGCATATCGTCCGGGCCCCATGCGAAGACAACGGCGTAGGACCGTAGGACGAGGAGGATGGCGTCTCGTTGGTCCTGGGGGAATTGCTTTCCGACCCTGAGAACCCGCTCCGGCCGGGAGGTATCCAGAGGGATTTCCTCGACCTCCTCGGCCGGCTCCGCATGTGGCCTCTCCTCGTCCATGGCGACGGCGGCCGTAATGGTGTCTATCCTCTGTCCTTCCCTTTCGGCTGGCCTTGTTAGCTTGAGGTAGCAAGCTCTGGCTATCCTCTGATTTCCTCTGGCGTAGCCGATGCCGTCGTTGGTGGGGAACTTCAAACATAAGTGCTTCATGGAGATGATGGCCTCCAAGTCCTCCAGCGCTGGCCGGCCCAAGATCAGGTTGTGGGCGCACTGGAGGTTGACCACCATGAACTCCATGTCAATTTTGGCGTGGTGGGGGCCGTCACCGACTTCCACGGGGAGGACTATCGTGCCCTCGGCGTCGATAGAGTCCCCGGTGAAGCCGGATAACGGGGTCTTGATCGGCTTCAGCAAAGCTCTGTCCAGCTTCAGCTGCTTGAAGGTGTCCAGGTACATCACGTTGACGGAGCTCCCCGTATCGATGTAAGTACGGTGGATGATGGAGTCACCGATCTCACATCGGATGACGAGGGCGTCCCTGTGTGACTCCGTACCCGGAGGCAGATCCTTGTCGGTGAAGGTGATCGCCTCCGTTCGCTGCTTCTTCGGCTGGGGGGGAACGTGGGACACCTCCCCAATGTAAAGGGATTGGGCCCATTTCTTTCTCTGCGTGGCGGAGTCCCCCCCAGTGTTCCCACCTACGATGAGGTGGATGTGATTCTTCTTCGGCGGAGGCTCCTCGAAGTCCTCGTCGTCGCTGAGCCTACCAATCTCGCGCTTCTTCGCAGAGGGTTCGCCCCCATGTTTGCCGGTGTTTACCCAAGTGTTTTTGCGTGGGCCACCTTTGACAAATTGGGAGAGTTCCCCCTGGCAAATAAGGCGCTCGATGGCCTTCTTCAATGTGATGCAATCGTCGGTGTTGTGCGACGAGTTCTTGTGGAACCGGCAGTACGTGCCGCCCTGCTGGATGGCAAGGATCTCCTCGGCCGGCCGAGGAGCCTGCTCGATGAGGTCGTGCTTCTCGGCATAATCGAGGATGGTGCCGACCGGGTGGGTGAGGGTTACCCCCGGCCGTTCCAGCCTCGGCCGCCAGTGGCGGTCTTTCTTACTCTGTCCACCAGAGCCGTGGCGGCCCTGGGCACCCTGGCCGGCCGGGGACGGACCCGGGGCCGACGAAGGATTTGTCTTCTTGGGGGGATGGCCCCCCTCTCTCTTGTGATTGTGGAGCTCGTCGGCGTCGGCATACAAGCCTCCGCGTTGGAGCGCCTTGGCGTATGACCTCGGGGGGTCGGTGATGAGGCCCCTGGCGTACGGGGAGCTGCGGAGGGCTCCCTGGTACAAGGCGAGGACGGTGCGCTCATCAGTGGTTAGCTGTGCTTGGTAGCGACGAAGGGTGCTAACTTGATTGTTCTAGCTCTCAACGAGAGCACCAAATGATAGAGTATATCTAGAGAGAAGTGAGAGCTAGAGAGAGAAGTGCAGTAATATGCTTCAATAGAATGATTTTGTAACCCCTATAACTACTCCCAAGGGGAGTATTTATAGAGAAAATTAAGGTTGGGCCCCCAAGCCTTGGGCTTGGGAGGCCCATTTACAACTGGACCGCTATTGGGCCGAATACAAAGCCACTAATGGGCTGTACAAATGAGTAAGTATAAAATCTGATTCTGGGAGGTCTTCTAGGCCGACGAGGGCGTGGCCGACGAGGGCACGGCCGACGAGGGCACCCGGGTTCCTTGGGCTCAGGACCATAATCCGAGTTGGCTCCTTTTCGGCCGACGGGGGCGTCTTGACCGACGAGGGCGCCACTCTGTTGTCTTGTGCTTTCTGTTCTTCCGAGTATGTGGGTCCTGGGGCTCAGACCCATATACTCCATCAATATGTGATAGGGCAAACCAAATTTCTTGCAAAGTAGTATAAAACATTATTCTATGCACACGCCCCCCCCCCCCCCCCCCCCCCCCGCATCTGGATGCCACAAACCCCCTCCCCTGCACACAATGAGCAAGGACCCTCGAGATGAGGTGATAGCACAACAAGAATGGTGCCTGGCCCATATGGAAGAAGGACAACAACATGCGAGTGGAACAACGGCTCACGGTGCCAGGTTGACTGCCAATAGCGGCAGGTGGACAACGGTCACGAGGAACCAGTGATTCAAATCAAGACGAAGACCCCTTTCACCGTAACAGTCCTTTCATTCCCCATCCCGAACAAGTATCGTTATCACACGGTCAAGTCATACGACGTCCGCAGTGACCCCTAGGAGCATTTTAGTCTCTACCAAAATAACATGCTGATGATAAACGCTTGTGATGAGTACTTGTGCTGAAAGTTCCTCTCCACTCTCGAGGGCTCGGCATACAAATGGTTCAATCAACTCCCCGGAGGCAGCATTGACTCATGGCAGGATTTGGCCCTGCGTTTCTTGACACATTTCGCGGGGAGGGAGCACACCAAGAAACACTTCTCACATCTCCTCGATCAGTGTCAAGCAGAAGGAGGAAACTCTCCATGAGTTCTGAGAGGTCGAAGTAGGAATCCCTCCTGGTCGAGGGTGCTGGGTCCCACGGTTTACATACTTGTGAATGCATAAACAAGAAGTACTACAAGCCACTGAAGTGCCCCGCAGCTAGGCCCCCTCGGCCAGACGAGGACCACCCACACAAAAGAATCCTAGAAGATGGAGACATTTAGCAGTCAGTTTCCACTTTTGTACTTGGCAGAATAGTTGCGTGTAAATAGCCCAAAAGCGACTCATCATTGTAAACAAGCCTCCCAGGCCCAAGACATGGGAGCCCAACCCATATTTTCTCTATAAATACCCCTATGAGGGTAGTTTATAGGAGGTTGAAAAACATTAATTGCAAAGGACTTTCATGCTCTAGCTCTCACTTCTCTTTAGAATATTACTCTTTTTTGTCTCGACGGCAAAACACCAAAATCAGTTGAGTAAATGTCGGGAAACATTTACCGAATTTTATTAAAAAAAAAAGGAAAATACAAAAGAGGGGGGTTTTACACCCAAACCTCTCAAGAGAAGGTATTCCTCCTCAAAATACATGACAAAATTTTTAAAAGAAAAATGGGGGGGGGGGGGGGGGGGGGGGCAAAAAACTTGACCCAATTAAAACATTAATGAAAAAACAAGTAGGAAACCGAAATGGATGAACAAATTAATAATGCATGGAAAGTATATTCATTTTAGCCAGGTCCAGCAAGGTGAGCGTAGAATTGGAAAGGCCACTCAAAGTCATAAACCATTTCAGACCTCCCAAATTCAAACCTTCATGTGCAAGTTGATGAGAGCTCATGGCTTTAATATTTGAAATCAACTGTTACAGGTAACCCGAAGGAGGAAAAGGGTTGAGGAGTGCTTTTGTCATCATCTCTGAGTCCGTCTCTAACTGAAAGTCTACAAAACCGTTCATAGCACACCAGTACAGAGCAACGAACACAGCTTGGAGCTGTGTTCATAGCATGAAGTATTGATTTTACAGACATAGGGAAGGAGAGAGTAGCAATCATGTTACCATCCGCATCTCGGAGAACCGCCCCACCTGCGCTCCTGCCGGCAATGAAAGCGGCATCCACATTCATCCAAAGCCTATATGGATGGATTTGCTTCCATATAAGTATCCTAACTTTGGATTTTTTAAGGATTTGGGGATAGTACCGTCTTGAACCAAATCATCATTATTGAATTTTATTTTTTCCTATCAAGCTCAGACACAATTGCTGAGTATAGCTTTTAATATTATGAATGAATTTTCCAGCATCAAATTAACCCTCATCCCAAATCACTTCATTGTAATTCTTCCAGATAAACCAAGTGATGATGCCTGATAGAACATTTTTTAAGGTTCCTTCCAGAGTAGATTCCTTGGTCGCCAACCACCAACAAAAGAACATTTGTCTAAGCTCAGTATTGTCTGTTCTCTAAATTTGCAGTATTCCCATTAAGTAATCCCATATGCTTTTCACCTTTGGACAATAATAGAGACAATGAGATCGATTGAGATTGTTCCGCTTGAAGACAAAAAGGGAATCTGGATACCATTTGAATTGAGAATCTTCTCAATGCTTCAGGGAAAGGAAGATAGTGATTAAGAACCTTCCAAAGAAATATCTTGATATTAAGTTGTTTCTTTGGATGCCAAGCTTGCTTGAATGAAAAAAGTTTAGTTGATGTCTCCCTTACTTGTTCATATGCAGATGCAAGTGTAAATCTGCCACAGGGATCATGTTTCCAGAAGGGTTTTTTGTTGTCATCTATAGAGGTAAGTTCTTCACTTATCTCATGAAATCTGCAAATTTGCTTCCAAAGAGGAGAATCAGTGACTTTAGGCTTCATGTCACCATTCTTATTGTATCTTTTAGCCATAAACTTAGCCCAGATAAATGAACCTTCTTTTAATGCCCACCAAGTTTTCAGATTAAAAGAATTTTGAATATCTTGAATTGATTTGATATCCAGTCCTCCTTCACTATCTTTGCAAATTTTATTCCAAATTAGCCCAATGATATTTTTTTTTGTTATCAGAATCACCCCAAAAGAAATTTGCCATTTTCCTAATCAATATGGATTGAATTGATCTAGGAATAGTGGTTGTAGCAAGATGATGGGTAGGAATAGAGGATAAAACTTGTTTTATCACGATTAATCTCCCACGTTGACTCAAATTCTTCACTTTCCAGGTGTTGAGCTTGGATTCAAAGTGATCTATTAGATGTGAACAATGACTTGCTCGAGTTATACCCCGATGAATTTGAATGCCTGAGTTCTTGAAAGGTAAGTTAGAAGACTTCATACCAAGATGTTTTCCATAATTTTAATTCTTCCAGGACGAGTCTTATTGGGTATAGTGAAATTTCTCTTTTTTAAACTGACCATATGAATGAAGATAATCAACAAGAGTCCTCAAAGATTTGGATCCTCCATTCAGAAAAATTAAGAGATCATCAGCAAAAGCCAGGTGCGTAATAGTAGGAACATTTCTGGCAACATAATAGGCTCCAATTTTATGTTGATTAACCAGAAAATTAATTCCCCTCGAAAAGCTTTATGAAACAAGAATGAATAAGAACGGAGGTAGTGGATCCCCTTGCTTTACCCTTCTCGTTGGTTGAAAGAAATCATAGAGATGTCCATTGACAGAGATAGAAAGATGAGTCTCTTTCAAATTTGTCAAAATAAGATTAGAGATTGAGTTGCTGAAACCAAAACTTTGAAGGATGATCTTAAGAAAATCCCGGGAAATCATGTCGAATGCCTTAGTCATATCCAACTTAATAGCTAGATTACTCCCTCTGATTTTTTATCTAGGCCATGTATAAGCTCTTCAGCAAGCAAAATATGTTGATGCATATCTTTTCCTTGCAAGAAGCCTATTTGCTCTGGGGAAACCAAATTATCCATGATTGATTGCATACAGCTAGTAAGAATTCTAATGCAAACTTTATTAATAAAGTTGGATAGACAAATGGGTCTAAATTGACTAAAGGCATGTAAGGGCTAAAGTCATAGGATGACCCAAGAAAAAATATTTAATAGCCCCACAAACATCAGGGCCAACAATATCCTAACAAGTTGAAAAACAAATTACTACGAAAACCATCACGGCCTGGAGAGCTATCCTTGTTAAGATGCCAAACTGTTTCTTTGATTTCACTTTCTTCAGGAATTTTGGATAACAAATCATTATCCGATTCTGTAACCAAAATAGGAATAAAGGCTTTCATGTAATATATTGCCTCTTGATCAAGGTTTTTAATATCGCGATTTGAATCATAAAATCGTACGATTTTACGATTCAAAATCGCCCAACCAATTCAAATCGCATGCAACATCGAATTTTGACAAAATCAGACTAAATCGTAAAAAAATCGATTAAAACCGTTCAAAATCGTGATTTTAATACGATTTACGATTTCAATGCAAGACCTACTAAATCAGGCCCAGTGCAAGCCCCAACCCCAGCCCAAGGCTTAAACTAACGTCCAGGGCTAATCATAGACTGTGTTGCTGTTGGCTGCTAAAATATGACTAGAAGATCGGGATTTATAATTGTACTGAAAGGAGCAAATTCTTACTTCTTCCAGTTTGGGACAACAACCCAATTGAGAATACTTCGAAAGTAAAACTAAAATGTGTGGCTAAAATGCGTGGCTACAGGGAATTAGACCCACATGTTATCCACTCACCTGCAACACACGTTGTTATCTATGTAAGTATAAACGTGTATGCGTAGTATTATAAATTACAGCTTATAAATATACATTTGCTAACTGATTACTGATTATGAGCTTCTATTAACACAAAATTATAAAATTAAAACTTATATTTAACTTAATAATTTTAAATTGTGGTTTTCAATATAACTAATATTTTAAATATTTTTTATTTCTTATTTTTATAAAATCTTACGATTTACGATTCGAATTTTAAACCTCTATACCAATTCGATCCAAAAATACGACTTTAACAACCTTGCTCTTGATATGTTTGTTATGCTTGGTACAGTGTTTTATAATAATCCACTGCAGAATATTACTCTATCAATACAAAAGTCAGAGAAAATATGAGCGTGCAGCTGCCGAGCTCACTAGTGAGGCGACTAGTGCAATGAAAATTAGACGTGAACTACAAGACACATAAGATACCCCGAAGATATAACACATATCATTCGAATTGATTGTCAAAGCGATTGAAAAGATTGTCACTATCACAAGTGATGTGTTCACTTGATCCCAAATCATTTATCTAGGTGTGAGCTGGGATCGGATGAAAAGAAAACTAGACAAGAGAAGAAAAAATATTTAAAGTTAGAGAATTAATATTTTGACTTTTAGAATTTTGCTCTGATACAATGTTAAAATTAAATATAGTGAACATTTAAATAAGGAAAAATAATAGAAGCATGGAGATTTAAAGCTCCGTGATTTGGGAATACAAGAACTTGAGTTCTTTCAATCATAGAAGACTAATATTGATGGTTAGGTAAGTACCATATAGTTGTAGCCAAGTGATTTCAATGTTTTGTACTTGTTTATTACATAATATTTTTCTTGGCATAGCTGCCAAATTACATTTCTAAACAAAAATATTTTTCAAGCATACATTCGGAAGTTGCGGGTAAAATTAATTAATTAATTGTAACACGGTCAAAGGGACGATAAATGTTACACGAAATCATTATGATATATGTATGTAACCATTAATTAATCAACTAGTCCATTACATGGGAACTTGCATAATTAGAAAAAGGGGCACTTTGTTATTAGAATTCAAATTAACAGCTTCAACCACATAAGCTTTTAGTATAATTCTGCCTCCTCAGTTACTTGTTGCAGCTTTAACCACAGAAGCTTTGAGTATAATTCTACCTCCTTAGTTACTTGTTGACTGGGAATTTTCAACATCCGCCTGACATTCCACAGAAGCAAAATCATCTAAAAAAATTGCAGGTTTCCTTTCTGACATAGCCGATAGTGCAGTCCAATTATGAACTTTGAAAACATAGCCATGATGATGCATTCAATATGCACTTCCATACTGTAACTTTTACATAGCCTACTCTTGTAACGCCATAGATGGCAAACCAGGTTGCATAAAAAGCGAACGATACTCACGTTCGTTTAGATTAATGATTTTGTATCATACACATATGGTGTCCTATCATCGTTCTTCTTAAACTCAAAAAATAGTGAACATAAGGGATGAATATTATCATAAGTGAGGGAGCACTATTTCAAATATATATAGGCATAGTTGAATGGAGAAGCTACTCTAATTGGTATGCTACAAATGCTTAGATAGAAGAAATAGAAATAAATGACTTTGTGGCAGTCATCAAATGTCAAATGAAAGTGAGAACGAGTCTCTTTTGGTAAGTAGCAAAAGTATTCAGATTAGTTGACACATTGTAATATCAGTGTAATATAAGTCCATGTCTACGGTTTTCTTTTAGTAAGGATGAAAAATACAAGCCTGTTATTTAATGTTTTTCATCTCATAATATCTTTACTTTAATTTTTTCATGATATCAGAGCTAAAACAGTGCAAAATAAAATTTCTTAAGTGATACTTTATTCTTGTTAGCTACATTGTGGTTATTGATGATGAAGTCATTCATGTTAGTTAATAAAATAATAATGTTGTAATAGATTTCATGTCTGTGTAGCATCATTTTATCATTTTTCTCTAACCAATCCTAGTGTAGCACCAACGTAATAAAAGCCGATGCAAATGCTTTCATCTCGTATGTATAAGAACCACAACATTGCCATTAATGTTTGTCATATTATTATCTCTGCAACTTAGTTTAATCATTGTATCAGAGGCAAAAGTACGAAAGCAGAATTTCTTGAGTGATGCTTATTTTTTCTAGCTAGGTTATGGCTATTGATGATGAAGACGATCATGTTGGTCAAGAATCTATCAATGTGGTAGTTGACTTCATGTCACCTTACTATATTTAACCCGAAATAAGTTCGTATATGTTTATGTTTCCCCACTTCTCCGTGATGGAACCTATGGGACTGACTCAATAAAATGATTAACGCATGCAGTGCTAAAATTAGATTTGGTTTCTTCAATGGCGACATTCCAATGGCCAACTCAAGTCCATTATATCTTCGATTTTGTGAGATATATAATTCCACCACCAATCCTTATCCTTTCTTAATCTTCTGAGATTTGTTTTATCGCCAAGTCAAAATTCCTCGGACACTCGATTAATCAATATCAACCCCCCCCCCCCCCTAACCAATGTTCTAAAAGGCAACAAAAGGTGCCACAAAGGCGGTCCTAGGAGTCGGGCGCAAACTAAACGCCTCCCATACTTGCTAGGCTCTAAGTCCTTTTTTTTAGAAAATCATTTTAAGGCTCTAATTTTCGAGAAAAAGAAGGCGATGTCTCAATGGTTTAGAGAGAAATGGGGTGCTCTTATAGATATTGGTTATGGAGTATTCTCTCTAGTATTTAATGTGGGAAAATGAACGGGAAAGTTGTGTGTCCAAGTGAGCTTTAAGTCTAACTCTAATAATTCAACTATGTGTTTTATTATTTAATTTTTTATACTAATTTATGCCCATATTAACTTAGAGGGAAATGGGGTGTTAATTAATATTGTTGTTGTTGTTATATTATTATGCTACTTTGTTTCATTTTATTTTTGTATTATTATTATCTTTATCATCATCGTTATTAAGTTTACAAATACTAATATGTTATTATTTAATTACTTCTTTAATTCTAGTTTTTGTGTAGTATATAAATTTATATTTGTTATAAAAAGATTTATATGAATCAACCTGAGGGCTTTGTGGATCGGAAGAGGAGTGACCATGTGTCACTCCTTAGGAAGGCCCTATATGGCCTGAACCAATCCTCTAAATAGTGGAATATTAGATTTGACAAGTGTATGCAGTCTCTGAAGTTTGTGAAATCTGTATGTCATAATTCTCTTTATTTTTAAGGATACGTCCATGATCTAGTGTTCTTACTAATCGATGTGGATGACATGTTGACCATTTTGTCTTAAATCTATTCATTATGTGGATGAAGTGTCTATGTGATAATTTTGCTATGAAAGATCTTGGTGATGCCAAGAGGATCCTTGGTATTAACATTGTTAGGGACATGAGTAAGCACACTCCTGTGTTAAATCGGATTTCATATGTGGAGAAGGTTTTGAGTAAGTTTAACATGTTATTTACCGCACATGTGAATGTTCCTTTTGCCTCTCATTTTGTGTTATGTAAGGATCAGTCTCCAAAGACTGCTTCTGAAATTGAGAATATAAAGTATGTTCCCTATTCAAATGATATTGGTGTTGTGATGTATCTGCTGGTTAATTTTAGACCTGATATAGCCTATTGTTAGCTGTTTGAGTAGATTATGTCTAATCTTGGTGTGCCTCATTGTAATGCTTTTAAATGACTCTTTAGATATTTGAAGTTTTCGGTTAATCATGGTTTTATTTTTCCTAAGTGTCCTGATGGTGTGAAACTGAGTGGATATGTTGATTCTAAGTATGCTCATGATATATATAATAGAAAATCTACTACTTCCTATGTGTTCACTTTATGTGATTTTTGTATTAGATGGAAATCTCAGTTACAACTTATTACTAAATATGAGCATGTTGCAGCTACAAAAGCCTTCAAAGAAGCCATATGGCTTAGATGTCTTGTTTATGAAATTGAGTTTCTTAAACAGGATGTAATTGTGTTCTCGAGTAGCTAGTCTACTATTCAACTTTGTAAAAATCTTGTTTTGCATTATAGGACCAAACACATACATGTGAGGTTCCACTTTATTCGTGATATTTTGGATTCAGGTAATGTGAAGTTGTGCAAGATACCATCAAAGTTCAACCCTGTAGATATGAGAATGAAGTGGTCATGTAACACTTGAGATATATTACTTTAAAGGGATTAATAATACTACTCATACAAACAAGGTGCATCTCCTTTTAAGGTAGCTCATCAGCTAAGAACTCCGAAGTTAAATGTGCTTGCACGAGAGTAGTTTTGGGATGGGTGAACGTCTGGGAAGTTTCTCAGGGCACGCACGAGTGAGAACAAAGTGCACGAAAAAAACTAGTGGCGATTTGTGAGGACGGTACTAGAGGTCTTGAGAGTACTTGTGAGTAACTACCTCAAGCCCTGCGGGGCGGGGTGTTACAGATTATCTGCTGAAAAGTTGTTATCTTGTAAATGAATTTTGAATTTGGACTGTAGTTGATTCAGCTTGCAGGTTTAGGTGTTTGTGGTGTTGGTTCTCTATTTGCTTTATGTTTACAAGAACTCACACCTTGTTCTCGGAGATTACCTGGGGTACTTCTCCAGTTTTCTTTTATGATCCTGTATGATCTAGGAGTGCTTTTTGTTATTCAATTTTTCTGCATGTTGTGTCTTAGGATATCGCTGGTGAGCTAGCACCACGCACTCTATTATTACTTTGTGATACTTAGCACCACCATGATGACCAATGGGGTGGAGAGTGTGGAGGTATTAGCCCACTTAGAACTAAGGAAATCCTCTCCTCTTCTATTTGGGTCCCTTAGTTATGTCCCTTTACCCGGTCCAGGGCTAACCATTTCATTCTGCTTGTGTTGTTCTGGAACTCTCTTTTACGGCTTCCTTTGGTCCCTTGGTATTTAAGTTCCTCTATCACCACCTCAATGGTGTGAGGTCTTTTGTCCAATCATTTTAGAGAGTTGAGATTAGAGAGAGAGACTTATGCGAGAACCCTCTTCTTCGCCATCCCTTCGTGTGTACTCTCCTCTACTTCTGCTCTCTCTTTCTTTGTGGTGTGCGTTGAGATGGCTGGATTGGCTTGAGTGTGATTATCCCTTTGTCCGATTATGTGGTGGTGTTTTGTGTGAAGTGTAGAGTGTTGGTTGAGATGGAGAAATGCAAATCTTTACATTACGTTTTTCAAGATAAATCAAACATTTCTTTTGTCAGCATGTTCTTAATTTAACTCATCAATATATTTCATAAGCTGGATATAATTGCTTATAAAAGTATTTCTCATTTGAATAAACCTATAAAGTGTTGAGTGAACTTATCATGCATTTTTCAAAATGAATAATTAATTTTGTAGTACGAGTTATTTAATTTTAAAAAGTCTGGTAAAAATAGTTCTAACTTAATGCGGATTAGGACATTATCGTAAAGTTATTTTGATACCACTTGTAAAACTCTGACCCCACAAGGTTCAAGGTCACTTTTCCATCTTAGGATTACTCTAATATCACATGTAGGTTCTAATACTTTGACCCTGCAAAGGTCTTAAGTCATTACTCTATGACTCTTTGATGTCATGCGGAACTTGTTAAAATATCACTTCAATCGTGTTCATATTGATAGAACGATTTAAATATTTTTTAGACCCTCCAAATATGACACATTTGCTTTAGGTCCCTGCAAAATAAATATTTGTTTTACATCCTTGTAATATGCATTATTTTGTTTTTAGTCCATCACTAACTTCAAAATTGCTTTACTTTGGAAAAAAGTCATTATCGGTTCTCCAAATCTCCTAGAAACATTTAAATTTACCTTTTACATACTACGTATTTTTTAGACTAATACGAGTGTTAAAACATTGCAAACCTAATTATTCATATTTTAAAAAATTATATTAAAAACCTTCTAAAGAATAAAAGTTAAATACTTTTTGAATAATATGACAAATATTTAGAGGAAACCTATTAGTCGAGTTTACTTCAAGGTCAAACGAATTTTGTTATCGTCAGTTATTGACTAAAAAACCCAACATAATTTTCGCGGATGAAAAAAAAAGAGATGTAAAGCAAAATATATTATATTTGCAGGGACTAAAAACATATTTAAAAATTTAAACCTAATAGAAACTATTGATCGAGGTTGTTTTTAAAATGCCTAAATCAAAATTTTTATTAAGAACTTAGTTAGTTTTATAGAAATTGCTCAATATAGGAGTAAACATAAACATAATTGCACAAATAGGAGTAAAACTTAAAACTTCCTTCAATAGGAGTAAACATTAATTTTCTACCCTTAATACCCCTAACCTAATTAATTCTAATATGACTTATTTGATCCTATTAAAATATAAAAAAATCTAATATATTTAAAAAAATGAAAAGAATAAAAACTAAAAATATAATTTTTAAAAAATAAAAAACTTTTACAAATAAATACTCACTCCGTCCCTTAAAACTTTGTCAACTTTCCTTTTTTGGATGTCCCACTAAATTTGTCACTTTCCCTTTTAAGTAAAGAATTTGTGGTTCTAGTTAATTCTCTCTCCTCTTCACAAACCTCAACCACACAGATTTTACTTTATTAATCCCCATGCCGGTCAAACTTGGCAAAATTTTACGGGACGGAAGGAGTACAAAATAGATAAACCACTTTAAAAAATATAAAAAAAATTATGCAGGCCTTTCCCGCAGCCACAACCATCACCCAACAATGCCATAAAGATGACATTTTTACCCTTTGAAAATGCCAAATTTTCTCAAAAAATGCCATCATGATGACATTTCGTACAAATGTTGACATTTTTTGGGGAGTAGGAACAGGTGGTGCTGGGAGGTTGTTGAGAGAGCGGCAGATGCCTACATATTTGTTTTATATTTTTTTTCTTTTCTTAATTTTTTTAGTTTTTATTTAATATTTTTTATTTTAATAATTTTTTATTTTTATTAATTTAATATAATACAGAGTATATTTTATTTAATATACAAAGTATATTTCTGTGTTTTATTATTTTTTTACAATTTTATTATAGATCAATTAATGTTATTTCTTTTATGTTTTAATTAATAATGAAATTTATTGGGGCTTGGGTAGGGGTATACTTGTCCAAACACTAAAGTTACTCCGATTCAAAATACGGTACTCCTATTCAAAATACGGTACTCCTATTCAAAATGTGGTACTCCTATTTTTACATTTTGCCTATATTTTACTTCTATTTGGGGAATTATCTCTTAGTTTTATCATTAACAAACATTTGTAGGGATCATTTAGTTCGCTGCCTGATGAGAATATGTAGGGTTTCGAGTGAGAGAAAATGCGTCCTTGCCTAAACTCTCTACTGCCACCTGTCGGCTCTCCAAGGATCGATCACATTTCTCCCTTTATCTTTGGAGTTGATTGATTATTGGGTTTAATTATATGCTCTGTTTTAAAGGTTTCAGCCTTTCACTTATCCAAATTATCTCATGGTGATTTCAACGCTCAGAGATTCTTGATAGAGATATGATTTGTTTGGATTGTTCTTTTTTCTGATTGTGTTGATTTTGTTCTATGGTGTTTCATTTCCGGGCATTGGTGCTCCGAGGTGGTTAGTCTCCCTCAATGTGTGGAGTTCTTTTGGTGTATCGGCCAGCTTTGTCTGTAGGTCAGGGATTCAGTATGCCTTCTTGTAGAGTGCGTAGACATTGGTAGAGCTCGTTCTCTTCCAGAACCACCTCTGTGCCATGAAGAGTTCTATAAAAAGATCCTTCATTTCAATTTTATTTTTTCATTGGTAGTATTTGTTTTTATTTTAGTTTGAGTAGGTTTGGTTTGAAAATTTGGACTTGTGGACTTCGTTTGATAGGCAGTATTTCAGTTCCGGTTGTTTTAGACTTTAAATTGCTCGTTTCGTGTCTAGCGAATCAGGTTGATTTGTATGATGTGGCTGATTCTATGTCTATTCCTTGGACTCACAGTCGGATCTGTAACAACTGTCTGGATGTTATCTTGTATCTTGTCTCGTTTTTAATATAAAAAGCTGATCCTTTATATTCAAAAATAAAACAATTGTAAACCGAGATGTTAAAATTCTTGTGAATGGAGGGATCTATGTGCTCGATTAAAATTTCAAACATCCATACACATTAATGAAGGATGGATTGTGATATTGCGTTCGCTTCTCCTTGGTTAGCCCGTTTGGTGACACCTTTTTTTGACTTATCAGCCAGTTTTTTCACTAAACACATAATTTGTATTTTCGCTTGCTGAATTGTGAAATAATAAGAAAAGGTAAGGTTGAAGTTACTTTTCTGGTTGTATTGGCTGAAGTTACTGTAGAGGATCATTTTAGCTATTTTTCATATGATTTTTTATTTGATTAATTAATAAAAAATATATCAAATATAATTTTTTCATAAATCAGCAGAATCACTCAATACAGCCACTTCAGCCAGAACTTCATAAATTTAAACAGATCAGTTAGTTCAGCCAATTTCAGTGTTACCAAACGGGCTCTTAAATATGATAAGAATAAAATGTACAATGTTTCATAATCAGAAAACATAAAACAAATAAAAAATGATACTAAACGTGTCTTATTTTTATTATACTTTGTATTATCATAATAGGGAAAAGGGGCAAATAACCCCTCGAACTAAATGAAAAAGTGCAAATTGCCCCTTTTATAGGAGGCTTTGTCCTGCCGTCGCCATTTGATGTGGTTCCCGATGGAAGCTTTTTATGAATTTTTTTGAACAGTACATTTTCTCCATTAAGTCTAGTTTACCCCTACCAAGTTTCAGCTAAAAATTCAATCGTGAAAGCAGTCAAATAAATGTTTGAAGATAACTGCGCAGTTAAACAGCGCAATATATTTCAGAAAATCATTTGACTGACTTTCCGGTTGAATTTTTATCTGAAATTTGGTATGAGTAAACTAGACTTAATGAAGAATATGCTCAAAAAAAGCATCAAAAAATTCCACCGGTAACCGCCCCAAATGGCGACGGTCAGATAGAGTCTCCTATAAAAGGGGTGATTTGCACTTTTTTTGTTAGTTCGAGGGCTTATTTGCACCTTTTCCCAGTGGCAGACCCACCAAGGGTCCCGGGACCCCATGAACTTTCAAAAAAATACATATACATATTATATGTATTTTATATAAATTAATAATACAATGTATATGTAAGGTGAAAGCTAATTGAAAATGTGAAGTTGGCATTGGTGCAATGGAAGCACGCTTAAACTTAAAACTTTTCGTTCATGGAGGTGCAAGGTTCAATTCCCTTAGGCTGGCAAGGAAAAACAGCATAAATAGTACTAACACTAATACATAGCAATTCTTTACTAAAACGTTAGTCATTTAATTCATAAAAAACTGGTATCAAAATATAAAATTAGTAAGCGTATTTCCGAATATTATTTATTGGTTCGATATTAGTTTTTAATGTCTTAATTTAGGGGATTTTTTTAAAATAAGTGACTCCATTTTATTTTTGTTCTACACTCAAATAGTTGATATTATTAAAAGCTATTTCTAAAGTATGTATTATTATTGGTTCATCGAAGATAATTTGTATTATTTAAAGTTATTTTCCCTATATATTATTTTAAGGTACCATAAATAATCGTTCGTTTAGAAAATTATTGGAATAAACATACTCTAATGATTGGATATTATTTTTCTATCTGTGACATAAATATTATTTTTGTAAACGAACGGTTATTAATTTTCTAAACAAACGGTTATTTATGTCACTTCATTTTCTAAATGGCTTTAGTTTTATATTAATTAGACATTAGAGATATAAAAGAGTAGGGACCCCGTGGCTCCGACTTTCTGGGTCCGACACTGCCTTTTCCCTATCATAATATGATATTGTGATATACTACCCTCATTCCATAACTTAGTTCCAGTTTCAATTGACAAGATTTGACTGACGATAAAAGTATAAAGTTTTATAATTCTTGTCAATATTCATATGGTTAGTAGTAATTAAAATCATTTTCAGAAACTACATCAAAATTTTCATTTTTATTGAATTTCAAAAAAGAATTCAAATTTTATTTAAAACTATATCTATAAAGTAAAAAATAAAAAGATATTTAACGTAACAACATGACCAGTGAGTGAATTCGAATTGTATTTTGAAACGAAGATCATATTAATTTAAAATAGTATCACACATTTTTAATAATGTCATACGTAGTATATAGTAAAGAGGTGTAATGAGTTAAATACCCTCTTATACATATATATGTATTAGAAGAAGTGCTCCTCTCCGGCACTTCTTAGTTCGAGCGCCATCCGAACACCGTCCTTTAGGGCTGTTCCCGATGGAATGTGTTTATGAAAGTTTTTGAGCATGTTCCTCATCAAGTCTAATTTATTCATATCAAATTTCAGCTCAAAATTCGATAGGAAAGGCAGACAAAAAATTTGTTGAATTTAACTGCGTTTTTGTATGTATAATTTGGCGCAGTTAACTTCAACAAATTATTTGAATGCCTTTCCGATCGAATTTTGAGCTGAAATTTGGTATGAATAAACTAGACTTGATGAAAAACATGCTCAAAAAATCTCATCAAAAAAGCCACCAAACGGCGGTGTTCGAACGGAGAAGTGCTGGACATGAGCACTTCTGTATGGACTATGTATTAGCCTCTTATAGTATTTTATAAATGTAGCAAAGCCCCCTAAGTTATGATCAAGCATGCTTGGTAAATGACGAGTTTTAAAAATGTCAAATACTTTTCTTTTGTTTGGTAATTAAGTTTCTATTTGAAGGTATTTCTTCTCATGATCAATTATATAAGGCGAATTTAACTTTGCATCATATTTTTTGAATGATATTTAGTTTTAAACAGTATTTTCAAAATCATTAATGTATGCACCTTATTTCAATATAAAATCATTTGACTTTGCATCTCTCAGTCACTTTAACTTTGTCACTTTCACTTTTCAATAAAGAATTTGCGGTTTCCGTTAATTTTTCTCCTATGCACAAAACACAACAACACATTTTTTATTTTACTAGTCTTCGTGTCGATCAAACTTGGTAAAGTTTTAAAGAACGTAGGAAGTATATAATACGCGATATTTGCACGAGTTACAAGTCTCACTTGAAACTAAATATTTTAAGTGAGGCAGTTTAAGTGTGGCATTCGATCTGCAACACATAAATTTTAATGGATAGTTGAGGGCATTTTTATATTCCCAAACCTAAATGGTTCATTAATGCGCAGTTATGCAACGATTTGTTATTGAAATTTTAATAGAAATTAGTTCAAATAGGACTAAAACTATGGCAAAAACCTTAAATAGGACTTGCTATGTTTTTATTCCAAAATAGGACCATATGAGTCCTATTGGAAACATACCTATTTTTGCATTCCATTCTTACCCTTCCATTAAATATGAATTAAAAGTAGTCAAAAGCCATAATTAAATGTTTAATTCATAATAAATTCGAAAAAAATAAAAAAATCGTAGAAATATAATTAAAAAATTTATAAAATTTTTATAAAATAAAAAAATAAAAAACTTTTTTAAAAAAAAAATGTTTTTAAAAAAATTAATAAAAAATAGTAAAAGTCCGTAAAAAAAATTTAACAAAATATGGATGCCTTTCCCACCGCCTGTACTACCTCCCAACACCACCACCTCTGGCCGATGAAAAAATACCATTTTCCCAGAAAAATGCCATTTTTTTCTGAAAATGCCAAAAAAGTGGCATATTTCTCTTTTCGAATGCCAACATTTTCATTTTTTTCTGCCATAAATATGGCATTCGTAATGAACTTGACATTTTTTTTCCCTGGTGACTGGAGGTGGTGGTGCTGAGGTGGCAGAGGCGGCGGCGATTTTTTTTTTTTTTTGAGTTTTTTTTTTTAATTTTTTTTTAATTTTTTAAATTTTTTGAAAAAAAATTAATTAAATTTTTAATATCGAAATGTTTTTCTTAATTTTTTAGTATTTTTTACGAATTTTATTATTTTTTATTATTTTATTAGGAATTAAAACATTTTAATAGCTATAAGGGTATAATTGTCCAAGGTACACATAATTAGTCCTATGCAAACATAGTTCATTTTTTGGTCCTATTTGTGAAAAGTGAATGACTTTTAGTCCTATTTTGATAATTAACTCAAATTTTAAAGATGTACATATTCCCTAGGATTGTGAAAACTGAGAACCGACTAGACAATTTGTTGATATAAGTAAATTAATCTACAATTGATTGATAGAGTTTTGTTTGCATCTATTACGACAAAAAAAAAACCTTGTTATGAAACGTTGTCCCTAATTGAACTCCTTGGTAAATTAATCGTAATGTTGTACACTACGTTTCAACTCACTACTGATTATATCAAAAGAGTTACTTTTCAATCTTTGATTCTTAAATTGTGTTTTAATTAAATTCAAATTTTATTATTGCCACAATGCCACTCATTATTATAAACTTATGGGGTAATTTCTGAGTAAGTAACTAATTAAATACTAATAATGATATAATGTTTGTTCGAGATCGAAATTAACAATCTTTATCACGAGTTAATTATTATGAACTGTAATTGTCTAAAATAAAAAAATGAGCTGTAATTGTCAATGTAGAATACGATTGAGAGCATATTTAACAAATAGACGAAATTATCCCAATTCTCGGTCCAAATGCTACAATTGGTGGAATAGAGGACATTGTCGGAATTGTCCTGTATAGTACCGACCAATCTCAATATATCGTTTATCTTTTTTTCTTTTATATTTTTATGTTATTTTTATCTTCTACTCTCTCCGTTTCAATAAAAACTTCGGTTTTGACCGGACACACATATTAAGATAGTGAGAATTGTGTGCTGGAGAGTTGTGCAGAAGAGAGAGAAATGTGTAAGAATGTGTAAGAATGGTTATGAACCATGAATTTTTTTCCAAAAAGGGAAAGTAAAGATAAATTTTGGACGGACTGAAATGTAAAGAATGGAGATAATTATGGAATGGAGGGAGTAGCTTTTCTATGCTTTTTTATTTTTCTATTTGTATCTTTCTTATATTCTTATTTATTGTTATCTTATATTTATTTATCTTTATTCTATCTGTTCCATCTTACTTCTTTCCCCTCCTCCTTGTCTGTCTATCTTTTTGTCATCGATATCATAGATCGATTTGGACCTGAACTACTATATTTACTCTCTATTTCCCTAGCTAAAAAAACTTCTTGTTTTATTTATGTGGGTGTCTCTAAATAATTTCTCATTTTCTTATTTAGTGAATAACTTTCCATCAATTTACTCTAGGTATTACCCTTAATAATATTGGAATCACAAAATTAAATAGTGTCAAACAGTGAGAAAGTAGTGCAATTTAGGGAACATGAGGTAAAATGAATGTTCACATCTAAAAAAATTATTGTCTTAAAATGCGCACATCAAATATTACCGAGGAGTATAAAACTACTAAACTCAACTAACAGTATGTCTAATACAAATGCGAAAAGATGACTTCTCGTATCTCAAAGCAAAGGCCTTCTCTTATCCGTATGTTGCTGACATCTGACTTTTGTTTTCACGTGCTGAATTGTGTAATAAGCAGAATAAGTAAGGTTGAAGTTACTTTTCCGATTGTATAAGCTGAAATTCTTGTAGAGGATCATTTTACCTATTTTTACATATAACTTTTTCTTTATTTTATTAATAAAATATATTTTAAAAATCATTTTTTCTTAAATCAGCAGAATTAGCCAATGCAGTCGCTTCAGTCAGAACTTCATAGATTTCAGCAGAATCAACCAAATCAGCCAATTTTCGTGTCACAAAATGGTTCTAAGTAAGGTTAAACTTCATAGAGGACAACTTTAGCTATTTTGTATATAATTTCTTGTTAGTTTTATTAAAAAACATTAATATTTTTCATAATTTTTCAGAATCAGTCAATCCAATCATTTCAAGTAGAATTCATGTGATAAAAAAGAAAGTAGAACTTCATAAATTTAATTGATTCAACAAATTTGAATGTTATAGCTTACATGCATGAGAGCTCTCTATTACGACTACTTTTTACCGTCAACTCACCATTAATGTGTTTAATTGGTTATGAAGTACACATGGCATCTTTACTACCTACCATAAAACAAGTATACAAATTTAATAAATGCTCCTCCCTTTATAAAACATCATCATCCGCCCCATCTATCTTCTTTGCCTATATTTACAACCATCCATCTTAGCCTTCTTAGCTAGTAAGCTCATTAAATCAAGATTGCATAATTGTCATTAATGGGGTCAAAATTTGTGCCTTTCTTCTTCTTCTTCATCTTCGTGGTGCTCTTAGCCGATCTTGCGAGCTCGGACGTCAGCAAGGACAAGGCGGAGTGCGCCGAGCAACTCGTCGGGATCGCCACGTGCCTCCCGTACGTGAGCGATGAGGCTAGAACTCCGCCGCGGGATTGCTGCGCGGGGCTGAAAGGAGTGATCGAGAAGAGCAAGAAATGCATATGCATTTTGGTGAAGGATAGAAACGATCCCAGTCTTGGCCTCGAGATCAACTCCACCCGTGCTTTAAGCCTTCCCGATTTGTGCCAAACGCCCGCTAATGTCTCCCAATGCATTCGTAAGCACAATTTCCTACCTTAATTACTCAAAGACAAACAAAATTACTAAGAGCATCTCCATTCATGATCTCTAAAATCAATTTTTTATATGATTCTTACCATTTAAATATTGTTATATAATTAATTATAAAATAATCTCAAAATTCATTTACGTCTCTCAATCATCTTCAAATAATCTATTTTTTCTCTGTTCTGCATTAATCTCTATTACATATATTTTTTAAATAATCTTAAAATAATCCGGATTCATATTTTGATCTCAGATTATTGAAGCAAATAATCTCATTAAATAATATATGTCACTCAATGATAATTCCCTAAAAAACTTCCATGTCACCAAATTAATCTCATAATAATCCTCCCAATGAGGATGCCCTGAGCCAAATCCTACTCAAACAGAATTAAGTCATAAGAGGATATGCATTATATGCACTATGAGCATATAGTAAATAAAAGTACAAAAACGGAAATTTGGTACAAGAAATTTTTCTATTTTTTCTTGGTCAACAAAATTCCATTCTACCTTAAGTATCAATTTCAAGTTGTTTTTTCAATTGGATTTATGTTATCATTCGAACTTTTAGTCTATTTTTATATATGTACATAAATTTGTAATTTAAAAGAATAAAACTATCAAGAAAGGATTGATGGTATGTATGTTGGGGAGGTAGATTTTGGAGGAGAAGAGATCGAATTGATGGTTAAGGATGATTTATGACACTCCCTTTCTTGCCTAGTAGTATAAAAATGGGGGAAAGTGTTAGATTGGTTCTCGAAATTGCATAAAAAATGTCAAATAAGTGCTTTTAAATTTTTTGAACATCTTATTCATTAAGTCTAGTTTACTTATACCAAATTTCAGCTAAAACTTCAATCGGGAAGGTATTCAAATGAAGTCTTGAAGATAACTGAGCAGTTAAAAGCGCAGTTATCTTCAAGAATTCATTTGAATGCCTTCCTGATTGAAGCTTTAGCTGAAATTTGGTATGAGTTAACGAGATTTAATGAATAAGATTCTAAAAAATTTTCATAAAAAATTCCACCGGGAACCTCCCCAAATGGTGACAGTCGAACAGTAAGGACTTATTTGACCCTTTTTATGCAATTTCGATGACCTATCTGATCATTTACTCTTTAAAAATGTGAAGGAAATGATTTCTTGCAAGTTGTCACCCTCCAAAATCCCTCAATTGGGTCACAAATTAAATGACAATTTTAGCTAATTTAAAATGAATACAAGTATAACTATTTGAATTCATTATATGTCTTTAAGTTTGAACGGAGTTGGTGTTCTGAAAAGTATTGTGCTCAAGCACAATTTGTAGGTCTGTGAACAAGAAGAAATGGTACACGTACACATCACGGAAATGAAATTAAATCCTTCCCTATTTCCCAACCCCACTTAATTGTGTTCACTTATTTGAATTACTCCAATCAAGTACAAAAGTCGTGTGGGTGAAGTATTATTTCTGCCCCATTTTGTAAGCTATTCGAATTGGAGATTTTCTTTTTGGCAATTTGTGCACAACCCACATGCATTTGCCCTATATATTAGGTAAGTATGGTCCATAAAGTGCAACAAGTAGTTAATGTTGGAAGAAGTAGTGCAAATTAAAGGAATGAAGTGAACACAGTGCTTGGCGTACACTTTTTGATTTATACATTTAGTAGACTTATCTGTGTTAACTCTATGTGTTAGGGGTGGGCATAAAACCCGAATCGAATCGGTACCGAACCGTCCCGTAATGGTACCGAACCGAATACCGGGTATTTAAACGGTTCTATAGATTTTTATACCGTACCGAAACCGTACCGTTTGAAACGGGTACGGGACCGGTCCTAGATTTTGAGAACCGAAAAATACCGGACTGAACCGTTCATAAATAATGCATTTGTATTTTTTATATTTTTTCTATATCAATATATCCAGACCAACAATTTTATACCCTAAGTATGTATTCATGTGTCCCTAAGATATCTAAAATGTGTTGTTTATATATATATATATATATATATATATATATATATATATATTGTTACTCCCTCCGTCCCAAAAAGATTGATACATTTTGACTTTTCTTGGTCAATGATGGTTAAGTTTGACGAATGATATCTTTTAATACCAAATTATTTAAAATATGAAAATTATATGAACATATTCTTTATTAAAAAATCTTACATAAAAGTATAAAATTTATAAATTACAAACAAATATAATACCTAAAATCGTTGTCTAAACTTTACCGCCATTGACCAAGAAAAGTCAAAATGTATCAATCTTTTTTGAACGGAGGTAGTAGTTTTTACCCCAAGTATGTATTCATGTGTCCCTAAGATATCTAAAATGTGTTGTTTATACGGAGTATATATATTGTTAGTTTTTCCTTTTAGATAATTTGTGTTATATTTTGGTATGTATTGAAAGAATATTAAAATTTTAGAAACCATTAATGATTATTTATTTCTAGTAATGTAGTGTACATGACTTTTTGTTATATCATGTTTGTGCATTTTTTACAACTTAACTAATATGATTTAAATCTTAGCTCTCAAGGTTCAACTATAAATTAAATTAGAACTACGGAGTAATATTTAACCTAGAACGAAGAAGAAGAACGTTGAAGATTTCTATTATATTCAACAATTTGATGATATTCGTCTTTATATTTTCACATGAACTTAGTAAATTAAAAATGATATTTATCTTGTGCGTCCTCGTTTTACTATACTTTTCTTAGTTGTGGTTCACTATTTGTGTATTTGTGAATTTTAGTACTATGTATGCAATTTCTTGTATTTATTTTAACATTTCATGTGAGTTAGTTGGTGTGATGATATCTACTAATTGCAAGATTTGTTCAAAAATTTTAGCATGTGTTTGACATTGTACCGTACCGTTTTGTACCGTTCCGAAATGACATGGTACCGAACAGTTCTATCCTAGGAACCGGACCGTATCGGACCGTTAAAAACCTCACGGATACATTACGGGTTTTACCAATTTACCGGACCGTTCTGGACCGCGTCCACCCCTACTATGTGTTAACTCTATGTGTGTATGACAGAAAAGTGTACGAAAGGTATACACAAGAAATGTGTACATTCAACATTTTTCATTTTATTTTAGCATTATTTAAGAAACCATGGTGCCAAAAAAATGTCCCGAAAGTTGGTACGAATGGAATATGTGCTATGTATAAGTGAAACATGGAGTACATGAAATGGGAGAGGTTTACTGAGTTTTATTTTGGAATTGAACTATTCTCATATGATGTTAATTATGTGTGCACAGACAATTCTATAGAGTCACATGTGGATTGACAATTTTATATGCGTCAGACCGACGAATGTACAAAATGTGTACACACAGCATTTTTCATGAAATCAGTACTAATCTCATGTATTTAAATCTGATCATATAATAGTACGTATGCTCTATTAACCTTTATCTCGTAATTAATTGTGGACGTTGTAACCAAAAATATGTGCGAAATGGCATGTGGAAACAAATAAGATCAATCAAGTCTTGGATGCAAATTTCTTGGTTAATGTTTCCATCCAATAGCCCGTTGAAAATTATATATCCAATTTGGTCATAAAGCTTATTGATTATACTGCAGAACTCCTGAACTTGGCACCTAACTCACCAGACGCAAAGGTATTTCAAGATTTCGTGAATAGTGCCAAGGGAAGCACTGCTGCTACTCCACCAGGTAACATATGCATAGTATACATATTAATTATTAACTCCGTCCTAAAAAGGACTTTGCGAAGATCAAATTAAGTGAAAAATAAGAAAAGTAATAGTTGTGTTGTTGGGTGTACGGAAGAGAGAAATGATGAGCAGAATCACGGATTAATTACCTTAATTAGGAAATGACAATGTTTTACGGAACAATAAAAAAAGATAGTTGGCAATGTTCGATGGGACAGAGAGAGTACTTATATAATGTAATACGAGTATAATATAGGTTAATTCTACTGTACTTGTTTACATGAACCAATTAAAATGTTGTAACGGATCAATTTAAAAAATAATAAGTTATTAGATAATGAATTTGGCCTAGTCCCCCTACCATGTGTTCTATCTGTTTTAATAAATTGGTAAGGTGATTGTGAGCCGTTACCCCATCCTTGTATGATTTACCACTGGTCGGGAATAAAAAAGGTATGGTATCCTCATTTATTTGTAAGGTAGTACCGTAACGTAACACTGGCCTATAATATACTCCCTCTGTTTCTATTATATCTTCCATTTCACTTTGGCATACAATTAAAGAAAAATGGTATTGTGTGGTGGAGAGTTATGCAGAGAAGAGAAAAATGTGTAAGAAATGTTGTGAATCACAAATTATTTACCAAAAAGGGAAAGTAAAAGTTCAATTGGAACGGATGAAAAAGGAAAATTGTAAGATACTCTGTATAATAGGAACAGAGGGAGTATACAAATACATCAAGTGTATCATAGATACATATCCTCATTTGTTTGTGAGGTACGGTAACACTCACCTATAATATACTTCCTCCGTTCTTAAATAAATGCAAGAGTCAACATTTCACACTTGCCGAGACACGACTTTGACCATTAATATAAATGATTTTGTATTAGTAAAAAAATTTAAAAAAATAGATTATGAAAATTTATAATGAGACAAGTTTAACAATATTTTTTTCATAAAATAATATTATTACATTAATAAACAAAACGTAATCAAAGTATAACATGTGAATAATGTAAAAGTCAAAGTGTTGCATTTATTTAAGAAATAAATGTAGTATACAAATACATTTCGTGATTTGATTATTCTATTTTACTTCGTAACATCTTAGATTGTTAGAGCATCTCCGCAGGAAGTATGTATATATGACGTGTTTGACACAATTAAAGATACTTTCGTATGCTCTTTAGAATATTTTCACCTAGATTCAAATTTGCTAGTCGGTGTGCTCTGTTTAAATCTGATTTGGGGTGGTCTGGTCTAGTCTGGTAGGGGTGGGCATAAAACCTGAACCGAACCGGTACCGAACCGTCCCGTAATGGTACCGAACCGAACCGAATACCGGGTATTTAAACGGTTCTATGGATTTTTATCCCGTACCGAAACCGTACCGTTTGAAACGGGTACGGGACCGGTCCTAGTTTTTGAGAACCGAAAAATACCGGACCGAACCGTTCGTAAATAATGCATTTGAATTTTTTATATTTTTTATATATCAATAGATCTAGACCAACAATTTTATACCCCAAGTATGTATTCATGTGTCTCTAAGATATCTAAAATGTGTTGTTTATATATATATATATATTGCTAGTTTTTTTTTATAGATAGTTTATGTTATATTTTGGTATGTATTGAAAGAATATTAAAATTTTAGAAATTATTAATGATTATTTATTTCTAGTAATGTAGTGTACATGACTTTTTGTTGTATCATTGTTTGTGCATTTTTTACAACTTAATTAATATGGTTTAAATCTTAGCTCTTAAGATTCAACTATAAATTAAATTAGAGCCCGGGAGCAAAAAAAGTATTCACCGGAGTAAAAAACCGGTCGCCGGAGTAAATTTGTCACGGACCAAATCCGTGACAAAATTTTGTCACGGATTTTGTCACGGACCTATCCGTGACAACACATTTTCGTGACAAATCCCAATATTCCGTGACAAAGCCCGTGACAACTTTGTCACGACCGTAATCCGTGACAAAAATCCGTGACAAAGAGCGAGTTTTTTTGTAGTGTATTTAACCTAGAACGAAGAAGAAGAACGTTGAAGATTTTTATTATATTCAACAATTTGATGATATTCGTTTTTATATTTTCACATGAACTTAGTAAATTAAAAATGATATTTATCTCGTGCGTCATCGTTTTGCTATACTTTTTCTTAGTTGTGTTGCACTATTTGTGTATTTGTGAATTTTAGTATTAGGTATGCAATTTCTTGTATTTATTTCAACATTTCATGTGAGTTGGTTGGTGTGATGATATCTACTAATTGCAAGATTTGTTCAAAAATTTTAGCATGTGTTTGGCATTGTACCGTACCGTTTTGTACCGTTCCGAAACGACATGGTACCGTACGGTTCTATCCTTGGAACCGGACCGTACCGGACCGTTAAAAACCTCACGGATACATTACGGGTTTTACTAATTTACCGGACCGTTCCGGACCGCGCCCACCCCTATAGTCTGGTATGGTAAATATCAGGTCTTTGTGTATTTTATAACTATGGAAGTCTTGTCTTGCCTTGTTTGTTTAACTATGATCTGGTCTGTCTAAATTTGGTCTGATATGGTTTGAGAATGAAACTAAAACAGTCAGATTAAAAGCATTCTTAGACGGTTAGCTTTTATTATATGAAATGTCTTAAAAAGAAAAACGATGTAACAATTTGATTTAGTTCTAAGTACTACGTATAAGAAGTGATTATATGTGTACCTATGTGTTATGTGTACTATACCTATCACAACCTATGTAACATAACAAATAAAATACCAATGTGTTCTCAACCGCTGGATAACTAAAAAATTATCGTGAATTCGTGACAGAGAGAATTCTCTAAATAGGAGTAAAAAAAATTGAAATTCAAAACTAGGACTATCATGTTTTTTATTCCTTGAATATGAGTAAATTTCTACCAAGTTTGACATTGATAGGCTTTAAAACATGACATTTGTTTTCAAACTTGTCAAATTACTCCTATTCAGTGAATAAAAAACATGATATTTTATTTTGAAATTTCAAAACGTTTTGCTCCTATTTAGAATAATTTCTATTCGTGATATTATTTATTTGTTATAACTACACTACTTTCACACTCATAAACAATCAGACCTTTTTGAATTTATTATCAATTATTCTTGAAAATGAAACAAACACATACTCCGTATTAAGTTTAAATTTATACATTAATTAAATTCTTATTTGTAAATTCTATTTCGATACTGATTAAGGGGGGAAAACATCGGTCTCTTAAAATTTTCTTATTTATATTTTGTCTCAGCGTTTGTAATTTCGGATTTTGAGTTATTGTTTTTTGTAAAAAAAAAATATATATGGTCGTAGTTAAAGGCAGCTCAGGAGATGGAGCAACAAGTGCCGAAGTTAAGAGCGACGGAAGCAAGAGAAAGCAGTTCCTGGAAGCTAATGTGGTTGCGGGGCTGTTTGTCTATGTTTTCAACGCTATTTCTTGAATTTTTGAATATTATACGTACTTTAACTCTTTAAGTACTGAATTAAAGACTTTTATTGAAGATTTGATGTCTTTGGTTAAGATGAGGAAAATGATGAATAATTGTTATCTTTTCACGGGTAATGGGGCAGTTGCGCTTTTATACATATCCGCTCCTTTAATTGTTCCGTTACCCACTCAATTATTTTACCTGCATGTATGTCACGATTAAAAATAATTTATATACTCAATTATAAAGTAAACGTCAAAATAATTTTTGATGCTCCGTTCCGTCGTAGTAAACGTCAAAATACTTTTTTTACGTACAACATTTCACATGTAATGATCAAACCGTCATTATTTTATTGAAACGCCAATTTTCAAACGCTCCATAAACTCTACAAATATTTACATGTTATCACAAAACTGAGAGAGGACTAAAATTTGACTATACGAGACTATGAGTATATCCTAAATAGGGCCTTCCAATAACAACACATTGTCGCCATGAAATGTATAGATTATATATATATATATATATATATATATATATATATATATATATATATATATATATATATATATATATATATATATATATATATTACATTGACCTAATTTCACTACATTGACCTCATTTCACTACAATATAGTCTAATGACGTATTTAGTGACTAGTTCTCAGTGACTCACCATTTACCAGTAACTTGTTTGTCTAAAATACACTATAGTTACTCTTTTACAATTACTCATACATAGTGACTAATCATATTTTTATCCAAAAGCATAACTAGTCATGTTTTTGTCCGGTGAAACTCTATTAGTAATATACATGTCATTCTTTCCTTAAAAATCCGAAAAGAGTGTGAGGGTGGAGGGTTTTATAATATATAAACAAAAAATAACTATAGGTGGGACTATAATTACTATCTACTTCACTAGCTAGCTAAAAAATCTTCTTGTTTTATTTATGTGGATGTCTCTAAATAATGTCTCATTTCCTTATTTAGTAAATAACTTTCTATCAATTTACTCTAGTTATTACCCTTAATAATAATAACTTCACGATGTCAAATAGTGTAATTTATAGTGAAATGAATACTCACATCCAACTAAAAGGGACATTAAAGAAAGTCAAAAGAAAAGAATTATTTTCTTAAAATGCGGACATCAAATTATTAAAATAGTGAAGTTTAAATAAGCATGGAGGAGGAAGTATAAAACTACTAAACCCAACTAATAGTATGTCTAATACTAATGCAAAACGAAAGTGCTATCAATACATTGCAAAGTGTACACGTTATTTTACACGTCGATCAAATTGTCGATCTGTGTACAATACCGTGTACACTAGCGTGTAGACGGATCATCATTGAATACAAAAAGATAACTTCTGGTATCTCAAATTGAGAGTTGCGGGAAACTCAAAGCAAAGGCCTCCTCTGATATGTACGTTTATGATCGAAAACCAAACATGGTCAGGAGGATACCAGTAATTGCTCTACGGAATAGGAGAAATATTATTCCGTTTTAGAGCCCTTTTGAAGATCGTATTTCTTGATTTATCAAGTTTATCGGTCAATTTTTCGGCAAATACATAACTTTTAATTTTGTACACTGAAATATGTAATAATTAAAATAATTAAAGTTGAAGTTACTTTTTTGATTGGATTACTAAAATATGTAATAATTAAAATAGTTTGCACACACCCTGAATGCAACGACCGGAGTGAAAACGATGACGGTCAGAAGCCCTGCTACGCAACCAATGATCCAATCATTGAACGCAGACCACACATCAACTATATTCACTGATGATGTGACAACAATTTCAACCCCTGTAACTGGTATCCAAATCCCACAAGACTTATCGGTTCTTCTGAATTGTTTTATGGAATCCACCATTATGCCAAGGGTGCACGAAGCAATCACGGCTCGGGCACGAGATTTCAGAACCACCCAAACGGTTCAGAATGAACAACCCCCAACCATTTCCCTACCAAGCTCCGACACCTCTGCCACGAAACCCCAAAATCCTACCACTTCTAGGGGACCCCGGGGTACAGAACTAGTATCCTCCCCTGTATCGACCACACCTTACCCCAATCCCTATACCATGTCGTTCGATGATTTAGCATCTATTATGCTAATGAGACTACTAGAATCTGAAGAATGCAACCTTACCCCTCTCCAACAAGCCCTTCTTCAAGTTCTCCTAAAAACCGAAAGCACATGTTGTGACAGTCCCCGTCATCACAAACGTTCGCATGAGGACTCCGATGATTCAGATCCTCATGATGGGGAGAACAAGAGGCCACAGACACTCGAGAATGGTGCTTCTACTAGCAAAACCCCGCAGCCAAATGAACCCTCCTCCTCAACCAACCAACAACCAACTTCCTCTACCCAACACAGAACCAAATCCCTTTTATGTAGTCCGGTCGAGCTAGACGAAACATTCCGAGGCTTATCTCCTATAGATATAGACCAAGGAGGGATATAATGGAAGTCCTGATGGTGCTACCTCTGGTACATCTTTATACCCTGGCCATCGGTTAGAACCTAGTTCGGAGCTGATGAGAATGGGAAATCCTAGTGATCCTGGTACGACTGGTAACAGGTCGCCAGAGCAGCAACAAGCTTCTCCTACTCCTTCGTCAGAGTGCATTCACAGCAAGCTTGAAGATATTCTTATCCATGACAAATTGCCTAGCAAATGGACGGAGTGGGATGAACTAAGAGTTGAAGTAGAAAATTATGAAGCTCGAAGAAGCCGGTATCTTTGAGAACTGCTCACAAAATGCATTGTTGATATCATTAGGCTTGATGAAGAGGAACTTAAGTAAGGGGAAAATTACAAAGAAACTCCCAAGGAGCTGGAATCGATAATCAGACAAGCAGCGGCTAAACTGCCCAGATACAAAAAGCCCTAGGAGAATGTGCGAATCAATGCTCCCTTCCAAGAGAAAATCCGAAAGCGCATATGGCGAAAACCAGAGAAGATAAAGAAACTTGACGAGCTTAAAGTCCGTGTCTTACCCATATGAAGGGCAGACAAGTCGGAGAACATCTGCACATGCTCAGTCATCGATCAATGGGCAAGCATCGAGAGATCTTGAATCATGACTTTAGAGCTGTCAAACGGGCCAACCCGGCCCAACCTGACCCGACCCGACCCGTGACGGGTTATGGTGTATGTGGGTTGGGTCGGGCCACCCCGTTTAATGACAGATCAGAATTTCTACAACCCTAACCCAACCCACCTAACCCGTGGGTTAAACGAGTTGGCCCGCGGGCCAATATGTAAAAAAATATACTTGTATAACAAAAAAAATTAAAAATAATTACCTGGAAGTATAAATTTATATTAGTAAGTAATAACAAAGGAAATATAAAAAATCAAAATACTAAAAATTCAATACTTGTTAAGTTTAATTAAAAAATATTAAATACTAGTTATACGAGAATTTGAAAACTATAAGAAGGTATGCGATAAAAATAATCATTGTATAAAAATAAAGATCTACATAAACCTTTTGATTAATTATTTGTAAATAATGATTACTAATTGTTAAATATTGTATCGAACTTCACATAAAATATATGTTTCAACATTTTATTTGAATATTTATTATTGAAATATATATTGTTTTGCCATGGTTGTAATTTTTTATTTGTAATTATAATAATATTGGTAGTAAAAGGATAATATTTAAGATAATAAAATTTAAAACTATATTTTTATATATACCTGCAACCCGGTGGGCCAAACCACTTAAACCCACAACCCACGTGGGTTGACCCGCGAAAACCGCGAACTAAATGGGTCAGAAATTTTCAACCCTAACCCACCAATAAATGAGTTTAAACGGGTCAGCTGGCCCGCAGGTTTCGGCCCATTTTGACGGCTCTACATGACTTGAAGACCAGCAAGTTCCTATCTGGAAGATTCTGAATGTGCATGAAGAAGACCATCATGGAATAAAGTTCTACACCTACAAACTTCAACGCACAGATGGAAGCGAGTTCACTTGCCAAGAAAATGATCTAGTTATGCTGAAAATGGATGACATCTATCAGATGTTCATGGCTTGCAGGGACCTCCCCATCAGAACCAACACAATGTGCATAGAAGGGTTTGAAGCTATAAAGCGATTCATGCTAAGACAAGTCAGAGTTCATGCATCACGTGATCTACAGATGGCCCTGGAAAACAACATACCGAAGGCTAATCTTGCAGAACCAAAGCTATATGGACCGGAGCTTGAAGCATTTGCAACGTATCATACTTTTGACAGCCCGGTTGCAATAGTCTATCTAAATCACACTGGAGAGAGGCGCCTGATGATTGTTGATGAAATCCACAAGTACTGTGACGGGACTCTGAAGATCATTCGAGAAAAGCTGCAACCAATAAAAGAAGATTTTGACAGCAGACTTGCAGAAGCCACAAATGTTGAACTTGAAGAATCTCATAGAGTTGACCGCATTATGAAAGATATCGACAACCAACTTGACAAGAGAAGGTCACTGAGACAGTATGAGCATGACCTGAATCTAAGGAAAAACTATTATAAAGCTCAGAAATGAAGAACAACAAGGCGGCATTGGATCACGAAGGGGGAGATTGTTGAAGAATAATTTATTGTGATTCAAGTTTGTCTAAGTCTTGTTTTTAGATAGTTTTAGTATAGCCTTTTATGGTATTTATTCTATTTTAATAAATGGGCTAGCTTAGAAAAGGAATGAGTCCAAATATGTTAGGCCCATATTCATAGGCACTAGGCCTTTACGGAAACCTACACCTGCGGCTATATATATGCACGTATGGTTTAGGTATTAAACTAATGAGCGTATAAGGTTTCTATCATTCTGTAGTGTTTCACGATATCAATAGAAGAGAGTTTTCACTATTCAATATATCTTCATATCATTGTTTGAATCTCTGCTTCTGTTATATCAATGCATCCATTCTGCTAATCATCTAATCTCATATATTGGGATCGGCCAACAGTAACTCACTGCTTCAGAGCTATCCGACTCCACCTGAAAATCACCATAACCTTCTTCAACAGCCCAATTCGTAGCATAGCTGATAGCCTGAACCTCCGCATCAACCGGCGAAGAAGCTATTAGAGGAAACGCAATAGCTCCCAACATAGTGCCTCCAGAATCTTGCATAATCGCACCCCTTAAGGCTCGGCCAGGTAAGTACCTCGCATCAACATTCAATTTGAGCTTTAGTTTAGGTTTCTCCATTTTATAATCTAAG